ATAAACTTACTGGAATTGTGTTTCGATCACTCATTGAGACAATAATTAATTCTATTCAAAAATAATGTTCGGATGGTTGTTGGAAATGAAAGGTCGAGATCGAGCTAACAGACAACTATGACTCTGTAGACATTGTTCATTACTCGACTTGACATATTTAAATATCACATTGCGTTAACGATACCATCGAAAGGATGCAAAAATAATCTTCCAAATGAAACAGATATACGAAGGAGATAGAAGAATTACGAGAACTCGATCACTTCGAGTTGCATTTGATTCTGTTTTCTAAGTCTTTCTCCCTCTTCGTGCCACTTTGGTCCTTTAGTCAAGAAATTGTCAGTGTTCAGATAATATTTCTCGAATTTATTTCCACAAATTAAAGGAAAAAACTTCAGGGCTGAACCGCTGGAAGCACGAAGGTAACAAGCATTAAAGTCGCCATTGTTCGTTACATCTATGCAACTTACTTTCATCTAAAAAGTAATTCGGGTGGATCAATCGATCTCTGTCAAACAATCTCTCCCGCTTTAGCACCATTTTATTGGGATAATGGGTCATTCCATAAATTTGAATAAATTGATTAAATGAGCATCGATAAATATTTGATAATTATTTGTTGCTGAGTGCTTTCGAAACGCATTTCTCGAAGATCGACTAGCAATGACAATGAGTTACTGATTGAAATAGAAAAAGGTTTCCATAAAAAAGAGGACGTCAAGATTCTGAAATGTCATCGAGAATGGACGAAGGACAGTTTTACGAATTTCTTTAATTGTCAGATGCGACTGAATGTTTGTCATATACATCGTTGTTAGAAATCTTTTCAAAACTTATTTTAATTTACTTGCAAAAACAGAAGTTCGGAATGAACGAACAGATTCGAATATTTTCCATGGAAACAAAAATTAATAATTGTGTATATCACGCTGTTAATGATTATTGAAATGGAAGATAATCGAAGAAGAATCGATTCTTTCCCTGTCAAATTTTAAGATCATTTAAGAATTTTACTTCTTTTTAATCTAATTCAGATCGTAATTTGTAACCAATGAATGCACTCATGACTGCAAAATTTGTTCAACATAATGCTTCCAATTTGTAATATATGTGGTGAAGCGGAATGGATTTATTACATTTTGGTCACTTAAAGCCAAATAAAAAAGTCGTAATGGCAATGCATCTCTTCGTTTCAGCAAGTGTTAACAATTTGCATCTCTTTCCAGACAGATCTGAACGATTCAATCCTTTCATTTTCATTTAGATGTATGAAACAGAAAACTGGAAAAGCTTTGTTAGAGACCAAATTTAAATGATAAAACAAACTAGGAATGAACTCTCTCATAAAAGTAAAAATATTTAAGTACAACAATCAAGATGGGAACATAACAAATAAAATATACAATTACAAACGAATAATCTGGGAGGAAAAAATATCGATAAAGGAACACAGCTTAAAACGGATGAAGGAACACAGTTTAATTCATTTCTTGACAAAAACGGCCACTTCGATTGAGCTCCCATTATTTCAATCTGTGCGATTAAGGTCTCATTTCTAAAGGGCTACAGTATTTCTGCACGTGGTGATCCATTTTTCAGTCGAAGATATTACTACCTCAAAAGCTTTCCAGCAATCCTTTATTTTGGAACGCGGCGGATTTCATTTGAAAGCCAGAAAGCAAATGTTATCGCAGCCATCGATCCATTTTGATGCAAGACACCCAAATAAACTGGCACGTAATGCACCTGAAATTCGGAATTCACTTATATCTGGCATCATCGATCTACACAGATTCGAGTAATACCACTGCTTCCATAGCTCGCTATATTCTCAAAATTAAGTGAATCTTATGAATCTTAAAAATCTGGATTATTTGACTAGGAATATGCAAGGAGTGATTAATAGTGGGTTAAGGAAATGGCTTACCACGTAGTCTTAATCTATTTCCGTCATATAATTTTACAGCACCATAAAACTCTTCACAGTACTTTAGCAAAATCACATTTGTATTATTACACTCAAGTTTTTAAAGATGGCTAAATAACTTGAATAATGCAATATACTTTACCAAAGCAGCTATGCCTAGAAGGGCCTGAACGTATATCATACCCATCAACGAATGTAATGCAATTTTGGCACGCCGACTAAGAACCATACGACGTCCAACAAGCCATGTAAGTGTTATCGAAAGCAACGTTAAGTAAGCCTGTAAAAAGTTGAGACAGAAAATTCATAGTGAATAATGAAGCAACAGTTTGCTTTTAAAAGTGTAAAGGCTTTGATTCCAGAAAAATTATATGAAATCTTTCTAATTGTATTTGTTGAGAACAGGAAAAACAGTCAAAACCGAATCGAAGCCATAAAAAGTCTAAAAAATTAACCATATTCCGATGCATAAATTGGGCGGTTACTGGATTTTCAAAAATATTGCGCCACTTCGGATCTTTAAGCCACAAATCTTCTGGAAGCCAGCTTCCTGCATACTTCGGCCATGAATTGTAAACTAATCCAGCGTCTAAGCCAGCAACAAAAGCGCCTGCAATTAAAGTGTTATGTAAAAAATAAATTCTTCCACCAATCTGAAATTATGGATGTCAAATAATCACAACTTCCATAATGTTTTCTTCTTTGCTGAAGAATAAGCAAAATTAACCCATCACTGCAGTCAAAATTATCATCGTTTTTGAAAGATGTGTCATACCGCGTAATTGTCCAATCTTGTTAACATTTGTATGCTGGAAAAACCCACTAATTATGCATACCATAAAATTTGCTTACAAAATTTATAAAGAGAAACCAAATGAGAAGAAGCAACATCATTACTTTTGGTTTCTCTCAGTTAGAGACATGATTCGATCCTTAATAAGTGTGTCAAATTCTAGATGATACCGAGGATATAATACATTATGCTAACTTTTCTCTCAGGTTTATTCACATACTGCAGAGCTTCAAAGTTTTGCAATTATAGTCAACAGTGCAGACGTCCCTTTCAATTAAATTTTTTCTTTCCCAAAAGAATCAGTTCTTATCAATTCTGATTTTCCAATCAAAAAGAGTTTTTTCTTCAATTGATTCACATTCATACTTTCTTTAAAGAACTCAGAAAAGTGATATGAATATTCGCAAAAAAAGATTAGAAAAACACCAGTTAACGTTTGACTATGATCCAGCCACTATAAAGTAGGTTTAAGTTATCTTCACATGAAAACTCAATCATTTCTCAAACTTCAGTAAAAAAAGAAAATAAAACATACATCATGGGGTGTAAAAATATGTGAAAGACCAGTCCACAAAAACATGGTATATAAAACAAAAGCTAGTGTCAGGTGAGTGGCTAAACGATATTCCGAAACCCGAGGAATTTCTTTATTAGAATTGTTCTTCGGATCCAATCCTGATTTCACCATCCACCAACCAATGAGTCCCTAAAATAAATACAGATAATGGTATGCTGAAAAATTATTTTGGTTGAGATTATCAAAGTTACGTAAGCTTTAGAGTGGAATTTGCGGTTATTTGGACTAAATAACTGCCTTGACATAAGCAAAATAACTTGCCTGGAGACAAATCAGAGTACCGACAGTAAACATCCGTTTTTTCATTGCAGAAGAGAAACGACCTTTTATCCAGAAAAATGCACAGGGAACTAGGAAAACGATACCCAGCATCCGTCCCCACATTCGATGAATGTATTCCATTGCCCAAATAAATTTGAATTCTGCCAATGTCATCTCTTCGTTACTACTTTTGCTACAAAAATTATAGCAGTCATAAATTTTCCAATGAATCAACCCCCTCATCAAAAAAAAAATCTTTTTCATATCGACAAGTATAATGTTTCTGTTTCTCACTAAATAGTTGTGGAAACTGTTTTATGAGTAGTACAGACATACAATTTATACTCTGGAAACTGCTTGTAACGTTCAAATTCTGCTTCCCATTCATCCTTACTCCATGGAGGATTCATCGTATGGAGCAAATCCCAATTCACCATACTAAGCCCTGATTCTGTCAATCTGAAAACAGATTCTGATCAAGTAGAAAGATAACATTACAGAACTTCCCAGCTAACTCTAATTTTAGATTAATTAAATAGAAAAAGAAACTGGAAAGAACTTTCTGAAGATTTAAATCATGCCTTGTGATACCCCCCAAAGCAACTGCTCCATAAACCATTCCAGCACATCCCAATAACCACGTCCCGATTTTTCGACGCTGTGATGGTGTTAAGTGATCTGATAGTGGCACACCAAGTGCCATACGCCTTTTCATAATATTGGTTCTGAAACTTTAATAAGAATGAATCACAGATACATGAATATCTGATAGATAATAGACCTGTCAAAAATACTAAAACATAGCAAAAGCAAAATTTTCAAGTATCACTCATCATCATCTTATTGTCAAATTTCCAACCAATCAAAAAGAACTGACATTCGCGAAATTCTGAGAGAAGCGAACGCTCCCTTCATGTTGCTACCGAACGCCGAACCGGTATAAATTGAACACTTTCCGATCATATTACTGCATGCTCGTCCAGTGAGAAGGCGTACCAACAACATTACTGAAACGCAATTTGTTTTTTGGATAATGGGATAAAATTGTTGTACTGGTCGCATCTAATCATAAAGAATTTATGATTAAATAAAACAGAAAACAAACGATCAGATAAAACATTCCCTTCTTAGTGCAAAAAGGTATATTTCTTCTATATGCAAAAAAGCATGGAACTATATATAGCTAATAATTAACTATTCAAGGCTTAGCAAAAAATCAATTTAAATAGACAAAAGTCTATTTCACAAATTTGAGAGATAACACTGCAACGATAAACATCATTTATTTTTGTTACAATGATACATAATATTCAATATATTCATTACGGTACAATTTGTTTCCAAATGGATTACCTCAAGAATAATTAAGACAACAAACATCGTTAAAGCTTTTAGCACAGTCTATTTAGTGATCAGAAATTAATATTTAGGGCAATTTAACATAGAGATGAGCTAATATCAATAATAAACTTCGAGAATTATCCTATCTAATAAAATTACAAAAAACGACAAAATAAGGCATAAAAAGGTCAAAATGAGAGAATGGGCTTAATCCAAATATTAATTAATTCAATTAAAGAACTGATTTAGATATGAACGCAACAACAGAGAGCAACATGGTCGGACTAGATCACATGAAATCAAATTTAAGGAAGCGTATTTTTAAAATGTCCCAAGTTAACAACGACAGGCAGAAAGATCAGCAAAGAGATAAGTTTTGATTTAATTTTGCAAAAAGATTAATACGATCAATTAACCTAATTGCAACATAAAAATTAATTAATCAAAGAGTATTCTCCTTAAATAGGACTCGCATAAATGACATCTTCCTTGAGACATTTTTAAATTTCTCTATCATGCAATAATTATTTTTACACTAAGAAACCTACTGTTCATCACATATAATACAATACTAACATCAACTATATTCATTTAATAAAAGAATCCTATATTGAAACTAATTATCGTCACAAGTATAGAAGAAATTTTTCAACATATACTTTAAGTATAAAAAATCCCTGAATGTCTAAAAAATTATAACTTCTATTTATTCATTAAAGAAATTTTTTTTGAATGAGTGCGTCACAAGTTAAACTTTCAAATCTTAGAAAAGCATCCAAAATCGAGTTACGGATTGTGTTTTTTCTCATATAGGGGCAATTTCGGAGTAATACCCAGTGTTTCAAATTTGAAGCGCCAATAAGCAACAACCATCCGATCCCACACATTTCCCAAATCTGTGAGCGCTGGCCGAACATCTAATATGGTGAATAACTTCGATTTTGGATCAACAGCGCCACCATCGTAAAAATCGATTACATAATGAACCTGAAATTAATTTCCTTTGTCATCTAGCGACATAATTAAAGAACATTTTATGAATTCAAAAAGCATAAAACAAATTTTTCCCATTTCCAAAAAGTTATACAAAGCAGTGTTTCGAAGAAACATTACATCTATTTCTTTAAATAATAAGTAAATTTGGAAGAGAGCTATCATTCTTTTTTACACTTCCATTCTGGCAATTATGTTAAATGCCACCAATTAAATAATCACTGGTAATTCCAAATTTATTCTCTTCTCGTATGTAAAAAAAAAAAAACGAACATCTTTTTGGCCACATCGATCTACTGTCCAATCATGCCGATCAAAAGGTAATTCGTATCTGAAGAAGACTCCTTTAGATGACTTTACCTTCACAAAGTAAATGAAAAAAAATTAATGATGACAATGCAAACAAGACTATCGCGAATTTTAAAGACGAAACAAAACAAACCCCAGTAACTGTCTAATTCGAGCTCGCGGAGAAATCTTTTGAGCATTGCCATGAAAATTTTTCAACTTTGGACAACTGCATTCACTACAACTTATCAATTGGTAGAGAAGGAAAAAATAAAGTAAGCAATACACTGTTTGTTGATATGAGCATGAATTACTAAAAAGTTTCTCAGATTTATAAAAATTCAGTTAAAACAACTATGTGGAAAGCAAATCTGAATAGTTCTATTTTCCTTTTATCAGGTCTCTAAATGAAGAAAGACATAAATTTCTATAGAAGATAATGGATTTCATTTTTGGAAATAGTAATTCAGAAAATGAGACACAAGACGATTAACTTCTCATGAGACACAAGACGATAAACTTCTCCTCTTTTTTAAACGTAACAAAATGAAACTGATGAAATACCAGTACGAGTTTTCTTTTTCATAAAACTCACGGATGTAGAAGCATTTCCCATTTCAAGATTTCACGCCACACTTCCTCGTTATTTGCATTATGAATTTTGATAATTTTGTTCATATCTTTTGCACTAATCTGATCATTTTTCCACTGCCATCCTGTAAACATTCAATAAATGATGTTCCAATAAACAATGATGAATACTGGTTTATGATGTCAATGTACAAACCAACAATACCTTTTCTTAGCATAGCATTCCAAAACATTTGTTCCGATGGATATTCCCAATAACTATCTTCTGTAGCTTTCGGAATCGTAGATCGTTGTCGTTCAATACTTAATGGAAATGGTTGGCCAGGTGAGGGCCTTTGATTAGGAGGAGGCATCTGTAAATTTAACATTTCATTTTAATAAATAATGCAAAATTTTCATTAAGTACATTTATTTTAGACTCAAAACGGTAGGTATAATAAAATCAAATTTCACAAACAACTTGCAGCATTTAACACATTGAAATCATCAGATTCCGAGGTACATCCACCCTGTTCATTCTTCTTTTTATCTTGATGCCTTGGGCACTCAGAAGTTACTGATTTAGCCACACCTTCTTTCTTAGCGTTAGCAGATTGATCTTTAACCGACTGATATGGACAACTGAATTTTGATGCCTGAAATTTAGGCTAAGAGAGCAAAAAACGGACTGAAATATGAAATGGTGAAGGACATCATAAGATAGGTTAGATGAGATAAAAAAAGTGAGAAATATTACCTCAGGTTGAGAAGTTTCATGTGACAGCTGCGACGACTGCCAATTGCCCATTTTGATCGATTCTGGAGAGAGGAAAAATTACGCAGCGAAACTGACGATAAAAAGCTACGGAAAAGAAGGAGCGAAATCCCTCACGTCCCTGGGTTTCGCCAGACCGCGTTTTACACTTAGTACGATCTATCTGAGAATCCGAGACCGTCAAATACCCAAAAGACTTACTGGCGCGATTGTTTTGAAATGAGTCTCGAATAAGGACGGAGTGGAAATGATGGTTAGGAGTTTGCCGATAGGTTGTTTAATTGCTTAGGATTTAGTATGCTAGCTTGATGTGTTAAGTTTTTAGGTATTCTCGTTTTTCTATCTTTCATGACAGGCGCATTGTGATCTTTACGGAATAGCTGAGGAATCAGTAATATGGCTGCAACAAATCCCAATCCAAATTATCTATATAGAAAATATACAGAAAACATACATTACCTATCAGAGCCGTATTTCAGAAATGATTGTAAACGAAACCTTTGAACCTTCCGATTAGGAGATTATTAGTGATCGTGAATGTACAATAATACCTTTTCCATCCTAATCGACAATATATCCCACTATCATTCCCGCTTTTTCTCACTTTTCTCCTTGCCTTGCTGTGATGGTCATTGCTCTACCACGACTGCGATGAGTGATCACGTCATCCCGATCAACGATTACTTCTTCACGATTTCTACTGGATTGAGTAATTAGGCTGATTTCCAATTATCGTTTAATGGAGCCGTTAGGATTTGAGAGTGCAGAAAGCAAAAAGATCCTAATGTACAGATTTGCCAATTGATTGAATAATTCGTACTTTGTATTATTGATTTTTTCACATTGAAACGGCTGCTAAAGGAACTTGTCAGAAATGAAGCGCAGAATTTTTGTAAGTTAGTTGGTCACTCAAGTATTCAGTTCATGAATCAATCAGTTAGCATAGAAATTGTTCAGACAGCTTATCATGTGAGTCATTCAATCAGTTAAACTGCGAATTAGTTATTGAGTCGGTTGATTTTTCGAATTACTCATTCAATCGGTTGTTCAGTTTTACATTCAATTAATTAATTAAATATCAGCATAAAGCTTTGAAAATTAACCAAATAATTTTCAGAGTGATTCAATCAGCGTAGTTCTGCGTAGAATATTAATCAGCGTAGAATATAAATCTTGGATATCATAGTAGGAATTTATTTTAATGAAATGAAGGAGTAATTAGAACTTATATGGGGATTAATTGGACTGGAAATCAGTCGAAAGGGTCTGTCTGGTAGTGTGCGGTTGTTTCATCTTTTTGCTCTCATTTCAGTGACTCATCGTTTAATTGTTTACTTAATTGGTATATTTATGCGTGTGTTTTACACGTCGGTCCTTTTTTATATTTAAATAGGAATATTTTGCTGTTGTTTGCTTCCATATTATTAATCATTTTATAAAATTTGAGTAAATAAATGTTTGAATTATTTCTTCAGGAATATTTCTTTCATCAATTCTTGTTACTTATAAATAAAATGTTGGTGAAATACGAAATAGCCATTAATACACTGTTAACAAAATTTGACTTGTTAGTGAATGCTGTTTTATCTTTTATCATATTATGGAAGTTATCAATGCATTCCATATTTTTGTTTCCAGAAGCTGTCTCGTTATCATAACCAGCAGGTTTAATCGAATTTGCGTGATAGAAAGGAAGTGTAGGATTGATAGAGGATATTGGTGAAGGAAGCTTTATAGAACTGATAAAAGTTAGCTGATCTGTCAGCAATGCGAGAAATTCTTCAAATTCAAGCTGGGCAATGTGGCAATCAAATTGGCACTAAGGTTTCCAGAATTTTTCAAACACTTTTATATAGTTTCATGCAAAACAGTTGGTAATTAACCGGATGTTACAGAAGAAATAAGTTTTGTTTAAAAAGTAAACTGGAAAGAGACAGGACGAAATATGGCTTATCATAAGGCAATAAAGATAGGATTCAGATGACCAGATTTAGGAAGAATTACGTGATTGTATTAGTGTAGCTGACTGACTTAACCGATTGCATATGCACGTGCTCTCCGGGATATTAAATATCAAGGAAGTCTTTGTTTCCACCGCAATTAATGTCGTAAGTTGCAGTTTTGGGAAGTGATTTCGGATGAACACGGTATACAACCTGATGGTATGTACTGTGGTGAATCGGATTTGCAGCGCGAGCGTATTAATGTGTACTACAATGAAGCAAGCAGTTAGTCTTTGCATTTTTGGTTTAATAGTTTTAGTAGAATCTCAGCGAGATATTGATTTTCTTGGTCAGGTGGCCGTTATGTTCCGCGTACTGTTCTGGTTGATCTTGAACCCGGTACCATGGATTCAGTTCGTAATAGTCCATATGGAAAGCTTTTTCGCCCCGACAATTTTGTTTTTGGTCAAAGTGGTGCAGGAAACAATTGGGCGAAAGGACATTATACGGAGGGCGCAGAGCTAGTTGATAATGTTCTGGATGTCGTGAGAAAAGAAGTTGAAGGGTGCGATTGCTTGCAGGTTAGATTTCTTTCTCTCTCAAACTTTGTTTTTACTGTTTCGCAAAATAAATTCACTCTCTAGGAATAATTGATAATTTTAGGGTTTTCAACTCACTCATTCGCTGGGAGGCGGTACAGGTTCAGGCATGGGAACCTTGATGATATCGAAAATTCGT